AAGACAAAACCACAACCATGAGGTGAGAGGAACAGGTAGAGAAGGCTTTTTGACGTCCTTCCGCTGATGTCATCTTTAAAATGCTGGAAATAATGAGAAAATATGATACAAGAATGAAGATCAATGGGGTGACAACCACCAAAATGGTGAAAGTAAAGAGCTGGATTTGATAGATAGAGATGTCACCGCATGACAGTCGAATCAGGGGTGGAATATCACAGAAAAAATAATTAATGTGATGAGTTCCACAGAATGGCAAAGTGAAGATCCAAACTGTTTGGAGGAGAGAATCCACACTGCCAGCAAAGCATGACAAAACCGTCAACGAAAGGCAAACTGTCTTATTCATGATGGTCACGTATCTCAGTGGTTTGCATATGGCCACATAGCGGTCATAGGCCATAACTGCTAGCAGGAAGCATTCTGAAGCTCCCCCAAAGAGTAGAAAGAACAATTGTGTGGCACAACCAACATAGGTAATTCTCTTGTCCTTTGAAAGAAAATCTACCAGCATTCTGGGAAGAGTAACTGAAGAGTAGCAGATATCCATAAAAGACAAAACTTGCAGAAAGAAATACATTGGTGCCTGAAGTGATGGGTCTGCCATGATGAGCATGAAAATGAGCACATTCCCTGTCATAATCACCATGTAAATAATGAGAAAAACAAAGAACAGTGGCAGTTGCAGTTCAGGGTGATTGGCTAAACCCAGGAGGACAAATCCATTTTTTCCTGTAACATTCATTGATCTTGCTGGAAGTGTTTGTTTCTATTGAAAAACAAAAGATGATGATGATGATGATGATGATGATGATGATGATGATACAATATTTTATATAAGTGTACATTAATTGAGGCTTGCTTTCAGGTAAACAGATACAGTGTTGCAATTTCGGTTCGTCACTTCAGTTCCTATTGATCTTGATAGAGTAAGGTAATTTTGCTTTAAATGCTACAGAGATCAATGGGTTTTAAGCTAACTAAGCTGGTCTGGATCCACTTTGACATCTCTAGCTCATTTTTGCGAATGGATCCATGTTTTATTTTAGTTCTGATGATCAACCCTATCATGAAATTAAATGCAATATGCATTTAAATATTAATTACATATGCATTAAAATTGAATCTCTCATGTTTTTGTGAGGTAAAACCTGTTTTACTGGTTTTTTTAAAAATATTTTTTACTAAGGATTTTCACAGGAATAAAAGATAAATACAAAATAGTTTAAAGTAAAAGTAAGAGAAAAAGAATAAGGAAAATGAAAGAGTGCAGGTAGAAGAAAAGAAAAAGAAAGAGAGAAGAGAAGAGAAGAGAAGAGAAGAGAAGAGAAGAGAAGAGAAGAGAAGAGAAGAGAAGAGAAGAGAAGAGAAGAGAAGAGAAGAGGTATATAAAGAAATGAGTCTTTACAGCAGTTACAAGCAAACATATTATTTCTGCTCCCTCTTTAAGCTTACATCATACATTCCTTCTTCCCATATTCAATCCTTTTTAATCAACTGGAGGCAAAACCAGTTTTAGATGAATCAACTATTAACAGCATTTTCCCTTAATCATTTAAGTGACTAGTTTCTCCCTTGAGAAGGAGAAGGTATTATCTACACTGGGAACAAACAGGATATAATATCATGTGTTCTACTAGAAATAAAGGCTTGGCATGCTTAAAGCGGTGCAATACCCATTAGAAAGAATATAATTTGAAGTTATCCCTAACTTTCAAATGGCACCAGGAGGAAGAATGAAGTCCAAATTCCAGGCTGCCAACCAGTGCTTCCTTTTGGTGGTATCAGATTACAGTGTCTTTGCACTTCCAGTTCCTCCTGGGGAGAAATGTGACCATCAATTAAATGTTTACCTATTCATAATTAGAATATGTCTTTTCCATTGATGAAAGTCCAGCAAAGCACTCCTATACTAGAAAAATTCCCTATTGATTATTGCTTTTTCCCTT